TGTTGATTGTTTCGGATCGTCTCTCACACTCTCCTTCACAACAGCAATATTTTCCGTTGTGCGAACGCTCCTTGGCCGGCCAGAGCCTGGCAGATTTGCCACAGAACCTGTTGCCTCGAATTTACGCACCAGACGACCGATGGTTGTTTCGTTTGGGCGGTTGTTGCGACCGAAATGTTCACGAAGCGCGCGAAACGTGTTTTTTATTTTTGCACCATTCTTGTAGTGCTCTTGAATAACTTTAATGCGGTCTTCAATCGAATACGACTCCATAGCGATCAATGGTAAACATTCAACTAACAAAATGACATGTCGGTGACAGAAAACAAAGATGGCGTCTATGTCAAATTGACGTTTACTTTCCTGCGTCCTTATTGGACAACCCTTTAGTTTTCCATAACATCGTCCTGTATTCCTTAACCCGTTCCAGTAGGGCAGGAAATTAACGCAACGTTTATATTAGGCAAAATTGACTTTCAGAAGTGTAATAAGCGCTTCCACTATAATAACAGGTGCAGTGTAGTTGCGAGCAGTTATAAATGTGAACACGAGCTTTCTTGCTTCCTGGAAACGATTTAGAGGCCAAACCGATAACATCACCAGAAGAACTCACTCAAATGAGATTTAGCATCTAGATGGTTGCTGGTATTAAGTTATTTGAATGCGGTTTTTTCAGACAGTCCATTAGACAAAGAGCTGACTGCAAAACTCCTGACCAACCAAGAAACAGAACGGAATGGTTTTCAAATGTCAGTATTTATATAGACAAGAGCGGAAGTCATTCTGTGCCAGGGTGTAGCGTGTATTACAAGTTTAATACAGCGGCTGTATTTGGTGTGTGGTAGATAGATTTATTATAAAAAAATTATTTATTCATCTATTTGCTCCCAAGTCCTTAATCTGGTCTGTAGTTCGTGAAAATCTTCCGTTGATACTACAGGGTGGCCAATATGTAACTGACCGTAGTACTTGTTTAAATAACATATGTCCAATTCATCATGGTGCGCTACATGATCCCACAATGCGTTCGTATTTTCAAAACGTTTTATTTAAATAGCAAGTCTATTGTTGCAACGATTCGGAAGCTATGACAAAATTTCGGTCAAAATAATGTTCCCAGTGTAAACACCATCCGTCAGTTGGTGCAAAAATTTGAAGAAACAGGTGGAGTTAGACTTGCCAAGGTCAGTCCGCGTTCGTACTAAAATATCGATAAAGTTCGTGGAAGTGTAGTGGAGCACCCTCAGACGTCTACAAGACATCGTTCTAAAGAACTGGGTATTCGCCGCACGTCGTTATGTACTATTTTAAAAAAATCCTTGCATTTGCGGCCATACACAATTCAGTTAACCCAATAGCTACAGCCTAGTGAGCATGAAAGTCGTCGACAATAGTCATGCAATATTGCAGCTTAATACATAAAATAACGATTTTTACCGACAACTGATAATGAGCGATGAAGCTCACCTCGATATGAACGGAATTGTTATATCTGGGTATTAAAGAACCCTTGGGTCATCTATCAAAAACCACTACAACCTCGTCGAGTCACAGTTTTGTGGGATGCATAACTTTCTTGCTCCTCAAGTCCAACAATTAACCTGCAATACATGTGGTTCCAGCAGGACGGAGCAACTTGTCGCACAGATAGGGAAACAATGAATCTTTTGTGGACAATATTTTCGGAACGTTTAATTTTTAGACTTGGTAATACCAAGTGGCCACCAAAGTCACGGGATTTAACGGCTCCTGAATTTTTCTATGAGAATTTTTGAAAAATTTTGAGACCTACCAGAAAGTGGTGGAAAATGTAATCAAGAGAGGCCAGGTTTGCGCGGCTCCTAGAGGCTCTGATATTTTTCATACATAATTTTCAAGTTTAAGTATAAGATTAAAATGAGAAAAATTGACGTATTCTATTTCATTTCACAAATATTCCCCTGTATAAGAATGTAAGTTTGAAAAAATTGCATCCTTTAAAAGTAAAACATTCGCTCCACAAAATGGGAAGTATGGTCTAGGTCTGTTTGCAGCAATTTACCATCATGTTTGTGCCCAATAACTCTGCGTCCACAAATAAAAAAATTTCACTGCATAATAAACTCACAAGATCATTAATAAATATATGAAATAACAACGGACCTAAGTGGGAACTCTGCGAGGCTCCAGTAAAAATAAAAATGATATTTCATGTCATCAGAACAAGGTTTAATGAGCCACAAATTATAATATGGATACTAAATTTGAATTTAACATCAACCTTCCACTTTATTAGTACAGTTACTGTACGCAGAATGCTCTGGAGAGAGCACACATAAGACTTATGGACGAATTTTGCCCAGGCCCACAATTATTTCCGTAACTGTGAACATAAGTACTAACTTTTTAAGAACACTCCATTCTGTTACTTCATCGGCCAGGATGTGTGTAGCCAGCTCTCATGCTATATGAAGTTTGGGTGCAGTAGAATCACGTGTTCAGCCTTAATTATTATCACGCAAGGCTATGAAAATTGGTGTGTAAGCCCTGAGCACAGCATATAGAATACTACACAGCAGCGCAACTCTATCTCTCTATCTCATCATTCCTATTTCGGTCTAATATATGCAGAATATAAAACTAACCGGGCTCTGGGCGGCTGAAGCTTCTGCAGTTTCTCACATGATACCGTACGACTGTGAAGATTTACTCACCTTTTGAGCTTTCTGGAGTGAAACTTCAAATTTGTGGTCAAAAACTACACCCAAGTCCTTGACTGACCCCCAAAGACTTATGTAAACGTCCCCAATCTTATAAATAAATTTACAAACAGATGTTTTCCTGGAAAATCTGACTACACTACACCTCACTTGGACGCACTAAAAAATAAAGTGTCAAGGTCCTGCTGAAGTGCAAAACAGTCAGCCTCAGAATCAAAAATCCTGAATAATTTTAAGTCATGTGCAAAGAGTTTATTATTAAAAAACTGTTGCAATCAATTTTCCAGCAAAGGGTTGCGATCGTACCTTTTTGGGGTGTCTAGACCCTTGAAGGGCTCACCGCTTTGATTCCATTTTTGTTTTTCACTAATGCACTCTTTGTCGCCCGTCACAATTTGTGCCAAAAGGTCAAATCATTGGGCAAAGTTTCCAAATACCTTTGTTCGGGTGTCAACTGTCGTGGAAGCCGTTTAGCTGACACCTTACTCATGCAAGATGGTGATTACGCTGGGTTCCGATATATTCAATCTCAATTTCATCATTTGTTGCTGCTTTGGGTATTCTACTTCTGGAATTGTTGTCTATGGATTCACGTCCCCGAACCAACCGACCAAAATTATATTGTATAATATGAAGGTGCATCATCCCCATAGACAGCAACCCTTCTCTCATAGCTATCTAAAACTGTAATGACCCATCATTGTTCACATGAACATCACTCAACCACCGGTAGTAGGGTTGTAAGTTGACTTGATTTCTTTTATATGTTTAATAAAAAAGTAAATGGTTTGAAATACGTTATATTGATAGATCGGAAATTTGGAGATTACCTTTTCAGCTTTTTTTATCCATGAGCTAATTGAGTCTACCTCTCTTGATTCGTCGTTGCTTCCACTTCCATCTGAAAATAATAAGCTGTCGCTATCGCTTTCTTTGCCAAGATTGGCTATAACTAGCTCCATCATGGTCGATGTTGTGGTCAAGCTGCCACATTTATGCGTCTTCCTTCACAACATGAGGGACAGCATTCTGCCACGTTTCAGGCATTACTAGCTGTATGTAATTCTCTAGCAAGCCTTGACGTCTGGTAATTTAAAAGATGTGTTATGGCGCGCAATATAGCCCTTCACTTGAGCCCAGCTGAGCTCTATTGGGTTCAATTCACAAACGCTGTACAGGGACACCACAATGCCGGTCCATATCTCATCAATTACGTAACTATTGTTTCCAGGTTTGTGATGTTTAATTGTTTCGTACAGTTCCACTTTCACACATAAATCATCGAAATGCTCTTTTTGCGCAGCCATTCCTGCATCTCACTGTTTCGAGTCCCCACATTTGGTACACATTCGGCTCGACGACTGTGGTAGGAAGCATTATCCATGACGATCACAGAGTTTGGTTCAACTTCATTTCGTCGTGGTAATCACCTCTTTTCAGTCACGTTTCATCCTTCTAAAAAGCCACTATCGCTGCCAGTATGTGTAACGATCAATCTTTGACCTTTCCCTGACGGTGCACGTAGACCTGTTGACAAGCCTTCAATGCTTGCCTGTCTGTTACTTGGTACATTTTGTCTATCTAGGTTTGTTTAACTATGTGACCTGCATTTAGCCACATCAATACAAATTATATATTTTTCTGCTCTTTCGTCTATATTCAGGTATTGCGCGTACGTATTTCGACGCTACGCGACTATTCCGATTACGCGTTTAATAATGAAAATTAAGTTCGTGCTGGGTCTTCCTTAGTATTCATTACCCTCGATCTTTGCATATATAGCCTTAGGGGTTGGTGATGTAAATAATGAATGTAAGGTTCGTCTTAACGCCATTCTGTTGTCGCCATTTAGTTTAATTGCCTTGGGTCAGCAGTAGCTCCAGTTCTCTTCTGTTCGTGCACCACCCTGCAAACAGTCCACTCTGGAACGCCTGCCATGCTTTCGCAACGCGTCTGTGCATGTCTCTGCGCCATTGTCTTGTTCAAATAATACACACACTTTGAGCATGATTTCTTTCGCGTCCTTACGAAGCTTTTTACTTCTTCCCTAGCTTCCATTACTTCCACTCCCAGTCTCACCCTCCATGGTGAAGAAAAAATAAGTATGACCCGAACAGAAATAAACAAACAATAAGCCATATTCATAAAACAAAGCATATCCTTGTACTTGCAAATTTTGAAGGAAATCCTCCAGATGGTGTTTATAATAATTGAAGTAAATGCTTTTGCTTTTTGAGTATAAGCATATCCTTCAAAGCAGTGACATAAGTAAAACGATATTCATAATCTTCACCTTATACTTGGCATAGGAAGCATATCCTTCAAAAATTCTGAATGTGGTCCCGTAGCGTAACGAAAGGTGGTCAAACGATGATGGCGGAAATTGTGGATGTTAGGGATGTACAAACCTCGTTTACCTTCATTTGGTCGTGACTTCAAAAATTATATCGGTTCGACGAAGCAAATGTACAATAGTTTGTGGCCAGATTTTTAGTTGAGAATGAGGAAACTCAAGGAGGAGTACTTTCAGGTATTCATAAAATGAAGATATGTCTACGCTATCTCGGTGACCCTGGATATCAACAAGGTACTGGTCAGGAACTTGGTGTTAGTCAAGCAACGGTATCTCGGACTGTGGATAGAGTTGTGAACAGCATATTTGCACAGTCGAACGAATCGATCAACTACCAACCATGAACTGATGGAGGCCAAGCGGATATGGCAACGCATTTATAAATTTCCGACAGCAATTGGTGTAATTGATTGAACACATTTAGGAATCCTGAAACCAAATCGCCATGGAGATGAGTATATCAACCGAAAAGGGAAACCTACTTTAAACGTGCAAGAAACTTGTGATGCCAGAGAGATATTCACAAGTGTTGATGTCAGTTGGCCTGGATCAGTGCATGATTTTAGAATATGGAGAAATTCACAGACTAGTTAGAGTTATAATTGAACGCTGTTTCGGCCAACTGAAACGCCGGTTTCGTATCCTACAGTATTTTTGCCTCGTAAAGTTGGAAAATGTGCCGAAAATAATTATTGCTTGTATTGTACTCCATAATGTTGCGAAGAGCTTTGGCGATCCTGACTTTGAGTTAGTTTAACAAGACCCAGATGAAGATGAAGGAAATCATGAGAATGACGAACTTCCTCTCCGCCAACTAGGTCAACAAATAAGAAGAAACTTGAATTATATAATACATAGTTTCACTGATTTCAGTGTATTTATAAGTTATAATAAGTTTTATTTTTGTGAACATCATAAGCTACAGGTAGCTTCTGACGCTCCATCATTTCTAATTTCGTTTTATAATACTCTTGTTGTACAATACTTGTTTGGTACTGCTGTAATAGCACTAGAAGTTGCAGTTCTTTTGTAGCTAACCCTTTGGTTTCCTCAGTTTCGTATTTCTCTGTTGCTAATTTTCTTTTTGGTGGCAATGTCTTCTGAATTGCTGGCGCTGTTTGCTCACTGCACTCGGTATATAGTTCACTTCCTTCTTCTTGAACACTACCAATCTGGATGGCACCTCTGATGTTCCCATTGTAGGATTCAGTAGTCACCTTCCATAGTTTTCAGCAACTTTCTTTCCCAATCTAACAATTTAATTGCTTTATTACCACTTTTTTTTTCTTCAATCTTGGTTTCATGTTGTTGATTTTTTTAATAAGCTTTTAGTATCTGATGGTTTACCGAATGTTGAATCGTATTTTTTCATCATCTTCTTCAAGGCATCGTCCTTTCTCATTTTTATGAACTGTAGGTCGTTGCCATTATTTTCTATAGTTTCCTGATCACTTGAGGATAATATGCTTATTAATTTGATAAAAAACTGTATCCAGTAAAATACGGAACGGTCTGTGTAAGCTCTGGAGTACAACTGTCAGTGATGCTGAGTGAACGAACTCCCACGTCAACTACAAGTAGGAACAAGTCAGGACATGTCGCTCAAAATACAAATACCATTCAACCCTTTTACTTCTTCTTCTTTTTCTCCGAAGCAAGACCTTATACTTTTACCTTATGCTTCCGAGGATATGCTTCTCTTTTATGAATACAGCTCAGTATCACGCGGTAACTAGACTCTCAACAAAACATGTTCGAAGCACTACTAGTCTATGCCAATGTATCGGTCCTTATAGCGTGGAAGCGTTGAGGCGTCATCTTATCTCAGGACCGGAATCAGTTTTCATTCTTCCTTTCAGTTTGATTATGGCAATATTCATGGGCACTCCTTACTCTTAGCATGTTTGTTGATTTTGACTGGTTTTAATGTTTTATTACAAGTAGTCGAGCTCATCAATGGAAAAACAATACGTTATGATTTTAAGGGCACAAAATTAAATTGCAAAAAGTGTAACATATAAAATATTAATTCAAATGGGATATTTCCCAAAAATGCAAACTTCTTACTTACTAGAATAAACCCAAAGCTTCGCCCGCATGATAGTCAATAGTGTTACAGGCAAACAGGATGCCGCGCGGCATCAGCTATTCTTTCATTGTTCATCAGCTGAGTCACAGTGCAAAATCCACATTGAGTTAGCAAATAAGGTCGACTATAATTTTCTGAAGATAATAAGTATAACTTGACGAAGCGATTCCGTGTCTTATGGCGATCGGACAAACTGACTTCAAGGAAAAAAAATTGAAAATCACCCGAGAGGGGTGGGATGAAAGCTCAAAGCTCAACCGCTTGACCAAACCAAGCCATTTGACATCCGTTCCGAAAGAGGCGGAGTACCTAATGAGGCAACCAGAGGACGATTGAAAATGACTATTTTCTCATGAAAAACGTTATTGTGGCTTGTTTATAAGACATCGCTATATGCTTCGGCGGATTTTCTAATTCTTTTGGAGACCCACATTTTATAATAATAATAATAATAAGCCTTTATTGCCCAACAGCTTATCGCCAATAACAGAGCAATTTATAAAAATAAAAGTTAGCTTGAAGGTATTAAGTGTATATACTTCGAAGTTGAGTCATTTATTTAACAGTGAGTAGATCTGATCAAAAGAAATGTGTTTTTCCTTTACCATTTTTCTGGTAAAATTAAAGTAACAAAGTTATAGCCCTTTGGAAGTTTGAGTACCGCCCCTGTCTCAATAATAATATTATGTGCTCGTGTTTGGCGACAACGGATATAATTCGCCTTATCGATTCATCGCATCGGAAACAAAAAAGCGAAAGAATTTGGAACGATGTTTTTACAATTATTTCATTCAGTTGTATACAGTCAGTGTCAGTCGGTAGTGGATAGTGATGTCTGTTGCGTGGCTCAAACCAAATTAAAAATGGCACATGTTTATGCGAATCGGTTTCCCAATCGAGTGCAACCAACCCCTCGTGCCTTTGTTAATGTAGTACAACGGGTTCGTGAATCACTTGACTTAAGACCTCACATATGGACGGCATGCCGGTGCTCCAAGACCTCACGATCAAATACAGGTCCGCACTGAAATACTTGTCGGGAGGATACTTTATATAACAAGGTAAATTTTTTTTTTATTTTTTTTTTATTTTTACACACATATTTGGTTTATCTTCCTTCTACAATCATTATCTGAAAATTAATAACTCAACTTCAAAGTCACC